ACACCAACTCCCTCAACCGGCCGCTCCCGAGGGAGGACTGGGTCTGGGTATAATGCCCTCCATGCCTCCCCCTCATGCAGGGGTCCCCTCCCAGTCGGCTGCCTCCCAATCCGCTGCTCCTGCCCGCCAGGGGCTAGGTCCCACTTCCACGGTGATTAAGAGATTCTGGCCGTTGATCCTTGCTATCCTATCTACGGTCAGTATCTCTTAATTCGTCTCAGTGGGACCTAGCCCCAAGACAGGCGTTCAAACACACTCGTCAGGACACACGTCAGGACTCACGAATTCCAACACTTGATCTTTTTTTTTTTTTTTTTTTCTTGAGAGAAAACTGTCCATTTTTATTATCAGCAAGACAAAGGAGGGCCGGGAACCCCTCACAAACAACCCGGTGTAACCAAAACCGTTCTGGGGCCCTTACCCAGTTTAAGGCTCCTGGGAACCGGGCCCAGTGTCCCCTGATGTCTGAACTCTCAAATGAAAAAAGGTAAGGTGGGGGTCATCCCCAAAAAACACGACCTGCATTCTAAGACATAGGACTATAGCTATCCATTCTGCTGCCTAAGGGGGGGTGGCTAAAACGCTCCCTAAGACATCCTAGCGGGGGTGGCTAAAACGCTCCCTAAGACATCCTAGGGGGGGTGGCTAAAACGCTCCCTAAGACATCCTAGGGGGGACAGCAGCCAAGTACAGAAGTGCAGTCTGCCCTTCGAATCAAGCTTAAGCAGCTTGTTGTCTCTTCCCCATGTCTCATATAGCCATTTCCTCACAGTGGTCGTGTTCTGTACTCTTTGTGTTCGTCTAATCCAGTCACCTGTTATGACGAATCGAATCTGCTGAGTGATCAGTGTCTTGACTGCAGCATCTGGCTTATACTCCTTCCTGAACAGTTGGTTGTTGCGGTCATCCCAAATTACTCTCAGCTCTGAGTGTTTGAGCCACATACAGCCACTCTTTCTCCTCCGATTTCTCCGAATGATGGATTCCCGAAACAATCCATTCATCGCTTTAGTCAAACTTCTTCTGCGTAATTCGATCCCAGTGCTGGATAAACCAATTCCAGATTCTACGCAAGGCTGGACAAGTTAGCCAAAGATGGCGATCATTCCCCCACAGCCAGTTACACCGAACGCACCTTTCCGAAATTTGCATTCCTCTTTGAGCTAAATTGACCGCTGACGAGGATGCCGAAAAGAGTTGCGTCCATAACAGGCCAGCCAATTTCTGAGAAGGCATAGCTTTGAGTTGCTGGCATAGTAAAAAAAACTGGATCATAGAGGACAATGCCAGCAGGTCATGTTCCTGTCTTCTTTTAATAATGGATTGACAGGGCGGTTTTCTTGCTTTGCCTCTCAGGTAGGCCGTGCCGTTCTTGGAAGAGTACTCGTCCAGGCTGATCATCTTTTGCCCAATCTCCCATCCGATTGTACGGAAGTCAACAGCAGCTGCTTTCAAAGGAATGACTCCCTGAGGGAGCCTCGCAACTTTGATCAATGTCCCACCGGCCGGTGCCTTCCTTGTTGACTGCGTCATTGCTACTTCTTCCAAACCACCCAAGGAATCCAATCTGATTGATGGTCCAGGTGTCAATTCTCTGGAGAAATTAAAAGTGTCTGACCTTATCCATTCTCTTGCTGCAAAACCCTCTGTACCTAGATCGTCTGTGATGTGAAGGATTACTCCTGCTGGGGCATGGCTAAATATGCACCACAGGCCTTCTTTAGGAATATTTCCATTCAACAAACAATTTTTCCAAGACCAAGGTACTGCATCAATCTTTCCCCTACCATTCTCAGTCTGCCCAATTTACCCCTCAGTTCCTGTTCCGTCAGCCACGACTTTTTTTCTGCATCCCAAATGTCCCTAATTCTAAACACCCCTCTCTCCACCCAGGCTTTACCAAAACAGCCGGGGGAGTCATGGGCAGAGAATTCCTGTCTGGCTACATCGACTATAAGAGGGTTCTCAAAAAGAATCTGATTTAAAATCGGGTCCCTAGTCAGTGGATGCAGTCTTTCTGTAGGAAAAAGCTTGTGCCACGCAGACAGAATATTTCTCCAGAAAACTGATTTTGGCCTTTTGCAAATATAAGATCTGATCAAGAGACAGGCTGCAACATCTTCCTCTCGACTGAGGGACCATTCTTCTTTCAGGATGTACACAGCCAGCATCAACCAAGGAGGCTCATCTCCTGCAAGCAAGGCTTTAACAGCCCATTTAGCAAGTAAGGCCCAATTTTGTCTTTGGGGGTCTAAGATGCCAAGTCCACCTTCAGATCTTGGAAACGTGATTGTCTCCCACGCGACCTTGGACAGGAACCCTTCTTGTTCCTCTGCCTGTGGTTTCCACAGTATCTTCGCTGCGGCTTTCTTAATGTTCTTGTAGACCACATCCGCAAGTAGGTGAACCGCTAGCGTGAACCATAAAACAGCGAGACCCGCCGTAGAGATCACCAAGGCTCTCCCCATAAGGGAGAGGTACCTGGTGTGCTGCCAACTGCTAAGACGATGAAGTACCTTCTCTTCCAAAATGACATCTTGAAAGGCTTGTATTGTTGTTAGCGATACCTGCACTCCAAGAAAACGGTCAGAAGCATCCGCTGATACTGCTCTCAACCCCCAGTTGATCTTTAACTGATATTCATCCGGGAGAAAATAACTAGACTTATTCCAATTTATGGAAGCCTCCGAAAGGTTACAATAGGTATTAAGAATATCTCTCAATGTGCCTAGGTTTCGTCTTGTATTTCTACACGCAATAGTCAAGTCATCCGCGAGTGCACCCCCCTTCCATTGCTTTGTGTTTGTTAGCTTTAGTCCTTCTAGTTGATCATTCTGACGAATGTTTCCCAACAGGACTTCCAAGTGAAGGACAAACAAGAGCGGGGCAAGGGGGCAGCCCTGACGCAATGACCGAGAGAGAGTGAACTGCTTTGAGAGTTGTCCATTCACCATTACAGCTGCTGTCGCAGAGGAGTACATGATTTTGACCCACTGACAAAAACTAGGCCCAAACCCCGTTTGCTTTAGTGTTGTCATCACGAACGCCCACCCCACCCGATCCTATGCTTTCTCCATATCTAACAGTAGGATGGCTACATCTCTCCTTTCTGCTGCTAATATCTCTAATGCCTGGATTGTGGATGCTATATTATCCATTATTGACCTATGTTTCACGAAGGCACCTTGTTCATTCCCAACTAATACCGGCAGGTACCTGGCGAGTCTGAGCGCCAAGGTTTTAGCTAGGAGTTTGTAGGACACATTTAAAACAGATATGGGTCTCCAATTCCTAACATCTGATTTCTCCCCTTTCTTATAAATTAAGGATATTATTCCTCTCATCATTCCTTTCGTCAGTCTTCCCCCTGTCAATACATTGTTGTAGATACTGAGTAGAAGAGGGCAAATGACCGGCCAGACTGCAAGGTATAGTTCAATAGGTAGATCGTCATCGCCAGGGGTTTTTCCTTTGGCCATTCTCTTTGCTGCTTCGTGTAGCTCCTCCAAGGTTAGTGGTCTGTCAAGATTCAGCTTTCCTTCTGTAGACAACCTAACCTTAGTGTTATTCCAAAAATCTGTCTGTTCCCTTAGGTCCGTTTTCATAGTGTCATATTGGCTTCTGGTCGTTAGGATGTCTTGAAAATACATCCTTGCAAATTCACACATCCTTTCCAGGTCATCAGTGATTATTGGCACTGTCGAGAAGGGGTGCGCAAGGTCTCTCATAGGCATTTTCGCAGATTTTAACATTAATTTCCGAAAAGTTTCCTTCGTCATTCGATCCCCATTGAGCTAACCAATTTCTCCACTGTTCTTGATTTTTAATTTCCATTTCTTCCAATTGGAGTAGGCATCTCTTCCGTTTAGCAGTCCAATATGCATCCGAGATAGGGTGTTTCCCAAATTCCCTCTCTGCTTGTGCAACTAAATTAAGCAGTTTCCTTTCTTTAATATTTGTATCTAGTGCTTTCAACTGTGAAATATTGCTGAGTGAAGTTTGCAGAATACGCAACCCTACTTCCAACCAATCGTCTTCGACATTGAAGAGGTATCTTGCTTGTTCCCACTGCTCTATATGCTTATGGATCCAGTCGACAACATCCGCATCTTTGAGGTGATTAGTATTTAATTTAAAATATGATTTACCAAACTTATTGGGATGGGCGAGCTTGAATGCAGCAACGATTGGATTGTGATCCGACAGAGAAGAGGACAGTGTCTCGATATGTGTGCAGGATTCCCAGAAAGTTCCTCTCATTAAAAAAAAATCTAGTCGTCGACGCACAGGAGGCGACTGAGAGCCATGCCAGGTATATCCAGGGGTATCTGGATATAGCGTCCGGTATGCATCTGTGAGACCCTGAGATATTATAAAGGCGTTCAGTAACCTACTGTCCCCTTTGATTTGTTCTCTCTTCGGGCTATCAAGCCCAGGGTTGAGAGTAACGTTCCAATCTGCACCAATCACTAAATTTTCTGAGTCTGGTATAAAACTCGGCAATTCTGATAGAAAGGTTAGACGTTCTTTATAGCACACTGGGGTATATATGGACATGATTGTCCAGACTTCTTGTTTCAAAAGGATCTTAATCCATACCCACTTACCCCAGATATCCGTCATCTGATCGATGACAGTTACGTCTAAATCTTTGTTAATCAAAATTCCTACCCCCCCCCCTCGTTCCTTGTGGTCCATTGTCTCCTCGGGCAGGGGCCCAAAAGTGTTTCCCACTCCACCAATTCGAGACTTCAAGGATGCGGGATTCATCGAGTTTGGATTCTTGGATGCAAATAATCTGTACCTTCTTCGAATGGATCCAGCTTTTAAGCCGTTCCCGTCTGAATTTCTTTCCTGTGTCGCATAGTCCCCGTACGTTCCAAGAGGCTACCCGGAGTCTGCCTCTAAGAGGCATTGTTTACTCCGTTGCCGTGATTTTCATGGATACGGCCTGCATCGTCTCGTTCCAATTCCCCCTTCTTTCTTCTTCGAATCCCCTCTGTGTTTCCTTCCGTCATTGATTCTTCCCGTGGCAGGCGCAAAGTGTCCCCAAACATGTCTGAGAACAACACCTGTCTTTTTGCCGAGTGAAACAGCCACTTGGCGATGGTTCTGGCAGAAAAATAACCTTTAAAAATTATACTATCCAGATCATCGTTCAATGGCGACACGAGGATCGAGAGTGGAAACTAGTCCTTATCTAGAGTTGCCAAGAGTTCTTTAACACTATTGGTCATTTTGGCATCCAAAAATACATAATATAATCGCGCCCTGTTTCCCACCCCGTCCTGGGCTGTGTCCACTCCTCCTCTCAGGGTGGAAATCAACTGGAGTTTTAGACATGCCGGTACGAGTGTTCTTGCTTTCGCAAGAATCACCGACTCAGTTAACGATTCCTCAGCATAAGCACTAGGGAGCTCCATCATTCCATTCGCGAGTACATTTGCCATGACCATTATCCCTTTACTTGAATTGGCAAGGATCAGTGGAGCAAAGATCTTCGGGACATTCCCGTCCTCTTGACCCAATGTCTGTATCGGGTTGACCGGCATCAGACCTTCCCCCAAACCTCCTGCACCCAACCCAACTGACCCTGTTTCTAAATTCCCTTGTTCGGTTTGACCTGGGTTGGGACCTACCGGGACCCATTTTCGGCCCCGTGAGGATGAACCGTCTCTTCTGGCTCGACCGGACAAAACACCAACTGCGTTCGCCTCCATTTCCTCCAGATCCTTTTCTTCCTCATCGTCTTCTTCATTCCCAACGTATGTCTTCTCCTTACCACTCAGTTCACTGGCAGAAGCTCCTTTTTCTTTCCCTCTACTAAGGCCTCCTCCCTTTGACCCACGTGTACCGTCTTTCCGACTTCCCGACGTACTTCCGTCTCCCGAATCTTCCCTGCTAGACCGATCCCGAAATCCTCCTCCATTTCTCCCACTGTGTCTATGTTTCCGTTCCCTTTTCTCCCTTAGAAGGGCCATTCTGCGAAATCCTGTTCGTGGTGGGGATTCTCCTTTCGGGACAAACCCAAAGAAGGGGTTCCAGAGGGGTGGGCTTTTCCACCACATCGGCAAACGGATCATATTCTGCTTCGGCCCTCACTGGACAGCAAGGGTCCGATTCCATATGATAGAACGTCTTGCACTGAGCACAACACGGAGTACTTGCCGAGATTACTCTAAAGTAGTAATCTCCTTGGCTAGGGATCCCCACTACCAGTCTTGGTCTTACTTTGACACTGGCTTGAGGTTCCAGGTCAAAGCGCGTGATACACAACCTCATGCCCCCTCGCGGCTTCCCATACGGGGTCGCCTATCAGAGTTCTAGGAGGGGCGTGGCCGAGGATTTTTGGCCGTAAGGATTGAGTCTCCCGGACGGAACGGGAGGCTCTCGTTTCTTGGCCGAGGTTTTTCTCGGAGTCGAACTGTCGTCGCGAAGTCCCGCGGGGGTCGGACTACTCCGAAACGATAAAATCAGAAGGGTTTCTGTGAGAATGACTTGTCGTCGTGCATCCGGACGGGAATAGGCATCAAGGGGAGGAGGCCATGGCGGCAGACAGCAAAAACTCTGGCCGTCATGGGTTCCGGGGATGGGTGGTGGGTTCGAAGCCTTCAGGCCTCGTCATCGGCCTCACGAAGTGGCCGAACCCTCGGGTCTTTTGCGGTAGAGGTGGGTGGTTCGAGGCCTTCAAGCCTCGGCGTCGGACTCATAGAGCCCGCACGAAAGTTTCCGGGAGGGTAAAGCGGCGGGAGGACTCGCCGACATCTGCATTCGAAATTGCACGGGCAGCGCCCCCGCACTACGGGAAAGCTCGGGGAAATGTGTTGCTCCCTCGTAACCCAGGACCAGCCGTCGCCACGAACACGAGTCCCCCTGGCGACACCAGCGACAACCAAACTGCGGTCGCCACGCGGCGTGAGCGGCCGACCAGGGCAACACCGTTAAACCCGTATAAGGCAATATTAGAGTCGGGGAATCAAAGCGATCAATCAACACAAACCCGTTCCCCCTTATCTCGCAAGCCCGAGGCGGGTCTTGCCAACACACTTGCTCCGTCCGCCTCAGCGCGCGCCGTACGTCCGCATCGCAGTAGACGCTGTCGTCATCTGTGATGGGGAAGGTCGGTAGCGAAATGAGACGATCGGAGGTATGTGATGAACACGGGCAAGATCCTGCGCTCCTGGTCATCCGAACCAACACCGAATCCATACGACAATCGTCGCAACGCTTCTCTCTCAAAAGTGGGTGCGTAGGGGGAGGATGACAAAATCTAAGCTTTCTCAAAAGTGGGTGCGTAGGGGGAGGATGACAAAATCTAAGCTTTCTCCCCTTGGCGGGGGCGTCGACCGTCCGCGCGGACGCAGGCGGTTGACGTCACCGGTACGGGGACGAGAGGCTCTAAAGGCGATGACTGTTAGTTCAAAAGGAAGGCGATCGAAAAGGGGGAGAGAGAGAGAGAGAGAGAGAGAG